GTTGATTAGCGGGCAAGTAATCAAAATCTCTGCAGACTCCACCTTCAAATGAGTTTGTATTGTTTAGGAGAGCAGCACTCATCCTCCGGAGAGTCGTCTGTACCCTGCAACACACAGCAAACGCTGACAACTGTCACACATGTTGACTGTTGCGAGTCCAACTGTGCTTTCAAAGCTTTGCCTTATCGTGTCAATTACTCTATTCCCATCGTCTTATTATTCCGTAATGTCGTCGAACCAACTGCTCAACTTTGCTGGGAAGGTAGCTGTGATAACGGGTGCTGCTAGAGGACTGGGTCGAGAGTATGCCTTGTTGCTTGCTTCACGAGGTGCATCAGTGGTCGGTGTGTATTTGCTTTTCTTCTTCTCCGAAAAAAGATGGTAATGCCTAACTAAGATACTGGTAATGTGTCCAATGTACAACAGTAAACGACCTCGGTGGCAACAGTGATGGAACTGGACAGAGCTCTTCAGAGGCAGACGTTCTGGTCAAGAAGATAGAGCAATCGGGTGGAAAAGCCGTCCCTGATTACAGTACGAAGTACAATGTGCGTTTGTGTGTTGATTCTAAAACACTTCTTTCTTTTTAGATTCAGTTGAGGAAGGCCACAAAATAGTGCAGACTGCCATCAATCAGTTTGGCCGGATCGGTAAGGCTATTGAGTATTCTACTTTCATGTCGACAAACATTTTAACATCCGATTTGCTGTTACCAAGACATTTTGATAAACAATGCCGGCATTCTGCGGGACAAATCAGTGCCGAAGATGACCGACGATGACTGGGACCTTGTACATCGCGTTCATCTGAGGGGCAGCTTTCTCACTACCCGAGCTGCCTGGGAGCACTTCAAAGAGCAGAACTACGGCCGAATCGTCATGACCTCATCTCCCTCAGGCATTTACGGAAACTTTGGCCAGGCCAACTACAGTTCAGGTATTTGTAGCACCACCAGTTGAATATGTCAGCACATAGAATTGATAACGTGCGATTTTGCAGCCAAACTGGGATTGCTTTCACTGGCAAAGACGATGGCAGTGGAGGGAGCCAAGTACAACATCAAGTGCAACACCATCGTCCTCGTGGCGGCCTCGCGAATGACCGAGGAGCTTTTCCCCGAAGAGCTCAAGGAGAAGTTCAACCCGAAGTACGTCGCGCCGATGGTGGCCTTCCTCAGCCACGAGTCCTGCCCCGTCAGCGGCGAGGCCTTCGAGGCGGCAGCTGGCTTCTACGGACAGTATCGCTGGCAGCGATCTAAAGGCAAGGTCTTCGCCCAGCCTGATGCTGTCACGCCGGAGGACATCAGCAACTCGTGGGACGCCCTCACCGACATGAGCGAAGCTTCTAGTCCCTCTTCCATGCAAGGTGATCAGTGCCCTCTTATCAGTGGCCTACCAGTCCCTATTTTACCCTTACTCACTCTTACGATTACATCTACCCATTACTACAGATCACATGATGACTCTACTTGGACAGCTGAACTCCGATGACAACAGCGGCGGCAGTGGCAGCAGCAGCAGCTAATTGACCATTAGAAGTCGGCTAATGATGCGCACGAACTGCTGAAAAAAGTGCAATATTTTTTTCTGATCTAAAATAAAAAAAGTGTTCTGATAAACTTCGTTAGTCAGCTAACTGAAATTTCTCGAAGTGTCATGAGACGAGCAGAGCGCCAGCCGCAGCCAGAGAATTCATTGAGCCGAAACACACGTACGCCACTGCACCACCTGACTCAGGTGTGTGTCTGTCTCATCATCATCTGAGTCATTTGTGTGTTCGTTATCAGGCATCGTTGAATAATAGTGACAGTACAGCGGCAGCACTTTCAGTGTCGCCAAGCGACTGCTGGCGTCGCCTCGTTTGCCCAGCATGTTGTGGGCAGCATAAATAGCCCGGCTCAGGCCCTCAGTTGGCCACCACCACTTCCAGCAATCGCTCTACTGCTCCACACAACTGGTCGAAGCTGCCACACTTGTTTTCTTCTTGTCAGCAACTCTCTTCCCGTCTCCACTACCGCCAGTACCCACTCAACAACACTCTCCACCTCCATCCATCTTCTCTTCCCAAATCCTCTTCAACTCCTTCCCATCATCATGTCCTCCACCAAGACAGGCAAGCACACCTCCGACTTCCTCGACTACTACACATTCGGCGAGCACGACAAGCACATGTTCTCCGGACACAGCGGCAAGGGACGGTCGAAGCGCGAGGCAGAGTTGCGCTCCAACCGCAACGACCCCAGTGGACACTCGCGGAAGATCAGCACCAAGCTGCGCAACACCGAACGCAACCACAACCACAACAACAGCCACAAGTCGATCCTCAAGACGATGCGCAGCAAGAAGCTGAACAGCCCCAAGAAGCAGCGAGTGGTGGCTGACCTGTGATGATGGCGAGAAAAGTTAAACAGCACGATCCTGGCCAACTTCTGCCTGAGCCAGCCAACTCTTCAGTTTTCTCTCCTGTATACTTTTCCCCTCCCCTCTGTATATTCTTTGCTTATCTTTCCTTTAGATTTTTTAGTTTTTATTTTTTTTCAGAACTCCCTTGGCACCTTTCTTTTTTCTCTCCTTTCTTGCCCTCTTCCTTTACTGTACTGTAGGGCGCTTTTATTTTTTTCTGTACAGCACCGTCTCTATTCAATTATTATTGGCCCAGTCTCTTTCTCTCACTGGCTATCGGGCCGTTTGCAATATTATTTTCAGAGATAATAAAAATGTTTTGTTTTACCCAATTTGGCTCTTTACTTTTGGTGCCTCTCATTACAGCCTTTTGATGCTTGTTTTCAAACAAAATGGCCCAGTTTATGATCGTTTCAATGCATCGGTACAAAGCACCGCAAAACAGCAACGGTGTGTGCATTCCTTGTTGCCAACGTCATATTTAGTCATGGTCAATTAGACTTATTTTTATTATTAGCTGTATGTACAATTTACAAATCTTGAACACTGCTGAGTATATTACATTTACAACAATACCACTCTCATCTTGCCAGCTCCTGTCCCAGAAATGACTTTGGATACGTTCGTACGATGTACTTTCGTCCTTCTTCATACGCAAGGAGAAAGAGGAAGAATGGTACACCTGAAAAAGAAAAGAAAAGAAAACATCGTCAAAACAAGAGCAAACTTTTTACAATTGAAGTTGAATCTTACCGGCCAGCCACGATTCAAATCCCACGGGAGTGAATGTCAGCGTCGAATTCACCTTAGGCACGTATAGAAGAATGCAAGCTACAACGGTTTCAGCAAAGATGCTGAAGTTCAAAAACCAGTTTCTACAACAACAACAAATGATGATGTCGTTAGAAGTTGATGAAACTCACACTTGTAAAGTTTACCCAAAACCTTGAGAAAAAATCGACACTCGACGAGTCTTGTTGATGATGACGTCCATCCACTGGACAACGATAATGCAACAAAAATAGGCACTCTGAGCTTCAGCCAGCAAATTTTTTCTCATATTAAAATCCTGAAACAAAAGAAAATTTAAACTATTGCAAGAGCATAAAGTGCAGAAACTTACATAAGGACAGCCGTGTCGGTTTTCTAAAACAACATTATTATCTAGCCACTTGTTGCGAACCATCATGTTCCACGGCATGAAGCCACTCTGAGAAAGTCTTAGGAAGAATCCCAAGTACCCCGAAGCGGTAACAATAATGCCAGCCTGAAGATAGCTCCAAAGCAGGAGATTTCGCGTCACCAGATGGTCCTTCTGCGGATTTCGAGGCGACAACTTCATGATGTCCGATTCGGCCTTCTCATAAGCCAAAGAGATTGCGGGAACTGAAAATTAAAAAAATCATCGTTGAAAAAAAATTAACTGCCACAAAAACGGTGCCTTACTCAAGTCAGTTCCCAGACAGATGCAGAGAATCATGATAGGCGTCACGGACACTGGAATGCCCAAAATGAGAAACACTATAAACGGGTAGATGGTTGCGCTGAAATGAAGAAGAAGATAAGATTACTACAAATTGTCTAAAAAATTGTAAGCAACATTACCAGTTGCCCGCCAAGATGTAGGAGATAGTTTTCTTCATGTTGTCAAAGATCTTGCGACCTTCCTCGACGCCGACGACAATCGACGCAAAGTTGTCATCGAGGAGAATCATGTCTGCCGCCTGTTTGGACACATCCGAGCCAGTGATGCCCATGGCAATGCCAATGTCTGCCTTCTTCAGCGCCGGTGAGTCGTTGACGCCGTCCCCGGTGACGGCCACAATTCGCCCCAAACTCTGGCAGTTGTCCACAATGCGCAGCTTCTGCTGCGGTGAGGTGCGCGCAAAGACGATCTCATTAAAGTCGCGCAGAATGTCCCTCAGTTCGTCGTCGTCAATGTTGGCCAGCTCATCGCCGGGCACTACAATGGAAGCGGCATTGCGTCGGCTAAACTTTCGATCAATTTTGGGCAGTGAAATTTGCGTCGACCGTCGATGGGACACCGAGATGATGCCCACCGACTTGGCGATGGCCTGCGCCGTGATCGGGTGGTCGCCGGTGACCATTATGACGCAAATGCCCGCGTCCTTGCACTTGGCAACGGCGCCTGGTACTGAGCCTCGCGGCGGATCGATCATGGCAATGAGGCCTAAGAAGCGCATATTTTTCACCTCAAAGTCATTTCCCTCATCAATGTTAAAGGTGTGGTCCGGGGCAAAGCCACTGAGGTCCATGTCGCAGAAGGCCAACACACGTTCTCCCATTGAGCCCAGTTCACGGTAGGCAAACTCAAAGGCGTCAATGTCGTCATCAGACATGGGCACTGTCTCTCCTCGTTCTAGTGGACAATTGTTAATCAAACATTAGAAAAAGCTCATTCAGAAAATAGTGCCTGCACTCTTACCATTAAGTATCGTAGTGCACAGTTTAACCACTCGCTCAGGGGCACCTTTCATCACAACGAAAAACTCCGCATCCTTTTCGCTTGTCTTCTCGGTGTTCCGGTGCACTGAATACTGGTACTTGTACACTGAACTGAACGGTTTCTCGGCGATCTTCGGAAATCGCTCTCGATACTGCAGCACCGTCTCCGGCAGCGAGACACACTCCATAAAGCGTAGAATGGCGCTCTCCGAGGCATCGCCGCTGCACTCCCGCGACAGGATGTCCGCACCGTCGCCGATGAAGTTGGCACGTGAGCACAGCTTGGCACATCTACAGGCACACAGGCAAATAAACAGAGAGAAAGAGAAAATGAGAGAAGTGATTGAGACGGTGGTTATAAATAGGCTAACGTGTGGAGAAGCAAGTGGAGAAGTGGGGAGGCTATGCAAAGTCATCGCTCTCCAAATGCTAGAAGATACAGTACCCAGGTACAAGTGACACACAGAGCGGTGCTTCAAACAAAAAACGAACTCGATGTACCCGGGTTGAACTCGTCAAAAGAGACAGTGGTGTGTGTGTTTGAGTTTGAGAGATCTCATCGCCATCAGACGGAGAACTGCAGCTGCGCTTACCTTTGAAATGCCTGCCAGCAGACGGGCAACTGGGCCATATCTTCCCTCGTCTCGCCCTCCTCATGCGAAGCATGCACTATGCGATTGCCCAAGTAGCAGTGCTCCACGGTCATTCGATTCTCCGTCAGTGTGCCCGTCTTGTCGCTGCAGATCGTCGAAGTGGAGCCCAGCGTCTCCACCGCCTCCAGGTACTTGATCATGCAGTTCTTCTGCGCCAGTCGCTTGGCGGTCAGCGTCAGCGCAAGCGTCATCGCCGGAAGCAGGCCCTCGGGAATGTTGCCCACGATGATGGCGATGCCGTTGACGAAGGCCTCGAAGAAGGGCATCTTCAGGCCCATGCAGACGGCGCAGAAGATGACGCCCAGGCTGATGCCCAGACAGGCAATGAAACGGACAAAACGGCCTACTTCAATGGAAATGGGCGATTCCACTGCCTGGATATTTGTCACCTGCAAAAAGTCAAAGAGGGGGCGTTAAAGAATGTTCTCCCCAATCACTGGTAACACGCACCAGTTTGGCAATTTTGCCCATGACCGTATTGTCTCCTGTGGCAATGACCACGCCAACGCCGCTGCCATCGACGCATGACGTCGAGAAGAAGGCAATGTTCTTCGCCTCCAGTGGCATCTGATGACCTGCCTCCGGGGACCGAGACAGTGGCTCAGCCTCTCCGGTCAGCGATGAATTATCCACTTTCATTCCCTCACACTTGAGAATGCGAACATCGGCAGGAATCCGCTCGCCGCCTTTGCAGAGCACAACATCGCCCACCACTAAGCGATCAGCTGGAACCTTTTGTTGTTTACCTTCACGAATGACAAGTGTCTCCTGTTATTGTGAAGGTAGTGTGTTTGTGTTAGTGAAGCTGTCCTGGTGATCTTTTTCAGAAAATACCTGTGGAATCATGTTTTTGAACGTGTCGAAAAGCTTTCCACTGCTTCGCTGCTCTTTAAACGACCACAGACCAGTTATGAAAATTGTCGCCACCAGGACTATTGTCAATATGTACTGTCAACGAAACGAGCCTTTTAGACCCCTAAAAACAACATCTCTTTTGACAACTTACGTCTTCTGGTTTTTTCTCCAAAAAGTATGCCGCAAGACTGCCAGCCGCAGCAAGCCTAAAGAGAAATATCATATCCAAAATAAGCAAAAAGTTTGCAAAACGCTAATGAAAATGAAACTTTGATACGCACCACATGATCCAGGCAAAACCTCCGGTAAGTTCTGAGTTTTGGAATAATGAGTTAGCTATTGGGTTCTTTTTGATGGGTTTACACACTTACCTTTTAAAAGAATAAGCCAGTTTGGTGTCTGTTTTGGTGGTGTAAATGCATTTGGTCCGTCTCGCTGAAAGCGAAAGTCAGCCTCTTTTGGAGAGAGTCCATTGTCGAGACTAGTCTGGAACTTCTCCTCCAGTTGCGCAAATGTCATTAGGTGTTCGGTAAAGTTCACCTCCTTTGCGAGATCAATATCACCCTGCCCTGAGCTGCCATTTTTACCCTTTGAGCCCAGTCGAAAGATTGAGCCCAAAGTGAACTTCTTTTTCTTTCCGCCTGCTGTTTTCCTATTGGCTTGTTCACTGTGGCCATTCATTTTGACGGCCACATGGTCGCCTCTTTGCGGCCCATTTTCGCTCATTTCCAGCTAATGTACTTTGTACTTTGTGACTATAAAACAGATATAATAAAACCATTATTATTTTTAGTAAGCCGCGCAAAAATTAGACATTATTTTGTCTTTGTCGCAATCCGAGCAATAGATAAAGCGAGAATAAGCTTTGAGTTAAGTAGGCATAAAGGCAATCTCAGTTCAAATTTTTACGACTGTAATCACCTTCGGAGTTGGTTAAAGGGCCGCCACTTACACTTTTGTAAGCGAAACTGCCACTTTTACCATGTAAAAACATTAAAAACTATACATTTTTGAAGATTCACAAATAAATTATTTTGAAGTAGTTACTTACAATTTAAAAAAATCTTGCTTAAAGTTACTTTTAATTTGGTAGTTGAGTTTAAAAGTGAAGGGTGATGGGTCTAGATAATGTTATGTTGATGAAAACGATATTTGCTGTAATTTAAAAAAGATGATTTGATTTACTAAAATCCTAAATCTACAGGTGTTAAGAACAACAGGAGATCAGCGAGCTCATATTTTGGCAAAGCAGTGCCCGTTGCATGTTTGTGACAGTTTGAAAGTTGCGAGCGGGCACTGAGAGTTGGTGGTTGTCTTTATATTGGGTTAGGATGAGCCAGTTAGTCGTACTTTTGAGCGTCAGTTTGTGACCAGATAGACTCGATTATTGATGGCAGTCAGGATGAGGATGATGATGATGATGATGACGATGATGATGAGCCATGCAATGCACTTTGATTTGTTCTTCGCCCACCAACTACACCTGCACACCACACACACATCCATCCTCACTTTACGATGTTGCGGAATTTATCTGCCCGGACAGACTGCTGCGTTGGCCGTACCGTATAGCAGCTCAGTGAACCGTAGTCTAGACTGACTTGCTCATCACCACCACCACCACCACCTCCTCCTCCCCTTCAAGGTCCAAGTTCCAGCGGCCCATTCACTACTCATAACGGCTAATTAGCTGGCGACCGACTGATGATGGTGGTGGCTGTTTGTTTGTTGTATCAGTGCGCACCTGCCGCACCTGGCAGTTGTACAGTTGAAGGCAGTAGTTGCCGCTTTGTAGTTGCAGTGATAGCACCGGTTTTTTATGGTTCCCCAGTCACCCACCTTGAACAGAGGCAGATTGTCCTCATGTCGCGACTAGGGCAAAGGGATGCGCATGTTCAGGCTGATGCTTTATTGGGTGTCACTTTCTTGGACTTCGTGGACTTTTCTGCGGGGAAAGGGGAGGGGGAAGGATTGCTGCCTGGTGTCTGGTGAATGATGACGTTGGACTCAATCGTGTGGCCCTTGAATTACTAATTATAAACAGGAGCCCCATCACAAAGTACTCAACCGATTAGTTATTTACATTAAAAATAGTCACAAACAGTTTAGCATTTGTGTAAATAATAACAACTGCAAAAAGAAAGAAAACATTAAAAGATTGCCTGCAATAAAAAGCAGCTAGTATTGCTTCATCACCTGCAAGTACGGGACCTGTACAGGTATAGAAATTGATGGTGGTGGTGTACACTGTGAATTGGTGAGCTCTGGAAGTTGTCTCCTCTGGAGACCGGTACAGTGCAGATTAGTAACAGAATGACGTAGTGATGATAATGATTGCTAGTGCTGGGCAAGTTCGTAACCAGAGCAATAGGAGTGGCGCCAGGCATTGCTGTCGGTGTCATTTTTAAAAATCTTCTCCTTTTCTAAAGTATTTAATTTGTAAGCGAGTAATGGTACTTCACTTGAAAATGATTGATGGTACAGGTATGATGCTTTGTCTATGCTTCTACTACTGTACTGGACACATTTGTTACTCAATTTTTGAGAAACACCACCTGAGAAATATTTAAACAATTTATACAGTAGCACTCAACTGAACAATGTTTTATTGACATGTGGGTTTTTAGTTTATTTTATTTGGTTGTTACGTATTTACACAATCGCTTTCCATCTTCAACTCTCTCAATTGCTTTTCCTAATGCTAAAAAGACGGTGAGGTATGACCGGGAAAATCATTTACAAAGCTCCTGACCAATGAATGAATTTGGCCGCCAACGAACAAATAATTTGCGCACCTCTTCAAAGATGAGCAAGTACACGGCCATGGGAATGCCTATCAGCCAGGCCTTGTACGGAACAGGGCCAAAGGACAGCGCAGTACTGATGACGGGCGTGTAAATGAGAAAACAGGCAAGGGCTAACTCCAGAAAGATGCTAAAGTTGAGGAAAAAGTTTCCAAATCCCTGCTTGATCAGTGACACTCGTCTGGTCTTGTGCACAATGACATCGGCCACCTGGACCACTACCACTCCGGCAAAGTATGAACTCTGTGCTGATGGCATTATTTCCATTCGTTCTTCATATGTCTGCAAAAAAACAAAAATCGTTAATTGAAATTTATATGAGATGTGTCGCTTGTGTTAAAAATTACCCAGGTGTGATTGTAGAAGTCAGTCAAGTTCATGTTAACATCCTCCCAATGCTCACGCATGTCGAACAAGTTCCAGGGCATCCAACCTTCGTCCATCAGCGTGCTAAAGTACCCCAGAAAGCCTCCTGCTGTCACAATCAGTCCACCTGTGAAGTGTTTTTGTTAAACATAATGAACATTTTAAAAACTATTTTACAAACCTTGGAAAAAGGCCCAAAGAAGCAGACTTCGAGTCACAAGACGATCTCTCTTTGGGTTTCGGGGTGATAGTTTCATAATGTCCGACTCGGCCTTTTCATATGCCAGCGATATAGCGGGAACTTAATGTAAGTGAACAAAAAAGAATTATTACAGCACAAAGTCATTAGCGCCTGAACGTACCCAAATCAGTGCCCAATGTAACGACTGAAAATGCAAAAAAATGTTTCATTATAATAACAAGAGTGTCACTGTAAATCGATTTGCACTAACCCAACATCATTATTGGACTGATTGCCACTGGAATGCCAAATGCAATGAAAAAAACAAACGGCCACAAAGTTGAACTGTAGAGAGAGAGAGAGAGAGAGAGCGCGCGATCCATTAGCAAGCAAGCCATTGACCTTATCCGCTCGTTGAAGTCACTTACATGTTGCCTGTGAGGATGTACGAGATAATCTTCTTTAGATTATCGAAAATCTTACGACCTTCCTCGACGCCGACGACGATGGACGCGAAGTTATCATCCATGAGGATCATGTCCGCCGCCTGCTTCGACACATCCGAGCCGGTGATGCCCATGGCCACGCCAATGTCTGCCTTCTTCAGCGCCGGCGAGTCGTTGACGCCATCTCCAGTGACGGCGACAATTCGATCCAGCTTCTGGCAATTTTCCACAATTCGCAGCTTCTGCTGTGGCGAGGTGCGCGCAAAGACGATCTCATTGAAGTCGCGCAGAATGGTGCGAAGCTCCTCATCGCTAAGCGTGGACAGCTCATCTCCCGGCACGACGATGGAGGCAAAGTTTTTCCGCATAGGATTGTACTTCTTATCAATGCGCGGCAAGCTGATTTGCGTCGAGCGACGATGCGACACTGAGATGATGCCCACCGACTTGGCAATTGCCTGCAATTTAGTAGGTAAAATCGTTATATTTTGCTACAAATACGGGTACGAGTTTTCCCAGCCCGAAATGACTTCCTACCTGAGCAGTGATCGGATGATCGCCAGTGACCATGATGACGGTGATGCCTGCCTCCTTGCACTTGGCCACCGCATCAGGGACTGACGCCCGCGGCGGGTCGATCAGCGCCACCAGGCCCAGGAAGCGAAAGTGGTTCACCTCAAAGTCTTTGCCCTCTTCGTCGAGGTTGAACTGGTGATCGGGTGCAAAGCCCTGCAGGTCCATGTCACAGAAAGCGAGCACACGTTCGCCCATTGAGCCCAGCTCGCGGTAGGCCGTCTCAAAGGCTTCAATGTCAGCGTCGCTCATTGGAACTGTTTTTCCGTTGACTAAAGAGGGGGCAAAAGATGAAACATGAGTAAACGATGATGAACTGAAGCATTTACTAAATCTTACCATTGAGAATAGACGAGCAGAGGGCAATGATCCGCTCAGGGGCGCCCTTGAGAACGACGAAAAAGTTTGGATCGCCCGACCCCTTCTCCTTCCCCTCCTCCCTGTTGTAGCGATGCACCGAGAACTGATACTTGTACACTGAACTGAAGGGCTTCTCGGCCACTTTGGGAAAGCGATCTCGGTACTCCTCCACCACCGGCGTCACCGACTCCATGAAGCGAAGTATGGCGCTCTCCGAGGCATCACCGCTGCACTCTCGCTTCAAAACGTCATCATCAAAACTGGCAAAAGTGGCTCGTGAGCACAGTTTGGCGCACCTAAGTTTAGAACATCAAGTAGTAAAGCATTTAACTGAAAACCTCGATTCCTACCTCTCATAGGCATCCCAACAGGCTTCCAGTCCCTCAATGTCCTCCTTGAACTCGTCCTTATCATGTGAGACGTGCACTATGCGATTGCCCAGGTAGCAGTGCTCAACGGTCATTCGGTTCTCTGTCAGTGTGCCCGTCTTGTCGCTGCAAATCGTCGAGGTAGAGCCAAGAGTTTCCACCGCCTCCAGGTACTTGATGAGGCACTTCTTTTGCGCCAGTCGTTTGGCGGTCAACGTTAGGCCCAGTGTCATTGCAGGCAGTAGACCTTCGGGAATGTTGCCCACGATGATACTGATCATGAAGATGAACGACTCGAAAATGTCAATTTTGAGAGCCATGCAGATGGCAAAGTAGACGATTCCCTCGGCTATGCTGAGTATTCCTATGATATTGACAAATCGGCTGATTTCAATGGTAATCGGAGAGTCGTTTGTCTTTAAAAGAATTGAAATTTTGTTAATTAATTTGACTACAAATGATTAATAAAACAGTTATACCCGAATATTTGTGACTAGCTTGGCAATTTTGCCCATGACAGTGTTGTCACCAGTAGCAATGACCATGCCAACGCCACTGCCATCAATGCAGGAGGTTGAGAAGAAGGCAATGTTCTTTGCCTCCAGTGGCATCTGATGACCTGCCTCAGGTGATCGAGACAGTGGCTCAGCCTCTCCGGTCAGTGATGAATTGTCCACCTTCATTCCTTCACACTTGAGAATGCGAACATCGGCGGGAATCCGCTCGCCGCCCTTGCAGAGCACAATGTCACCAACTACCAACTGGTCTGCGGGCACTTTTTTCTGTTTTCCATCACGAATTACTAGAGTTTGCTGTGGGATCATGTTCTAAAGAAAAAAAGAATTAGATTTTAGATAATCGACTCAAAGTTCAAAGACAAACCTTAAAAGACTCAAAAATCTTTCCACTGCTTCGTTGCTGTTTAAAACTGCAAAAAAGATTAAATTATAAAATGTACAAAACTAAACAGCACTTTTACCTGTATAAAGCCGTAGCAACGAGAACCACAGAAATGAAGATGGCCAAGTAAATGTCAGTCATTTTCTTCTCGATAGCAAAGACGACACACGAGGCAATTGCTAGAAGTAGGAGAACGAAAAGGATTACCATGAAAACTAAATCTAACTTTAGTGCTTACCAGTCAGCCACATAATGCCGGCAAAACCTGCCGTGAGCTCTTTCAGCAAAATCATCCAGTTTGACTTCTGTTTAGGTGGAGTGAACGCATTCGGGCCATCTTTTTTTAGTCGAATTCCAGCTTCTTCTTGTGTTAGGCCTTCATCAGCATTGGTTCTGAACTTGAACTCAAGTTCGGTTACGCTCATCAAATGTTCAGTAATGTTTACTTCTTTGGCGACGTCTATATCAGACTAGAAAAATCTATGAATTTGATGCCATGCTAATTTACTAAAACTAGTTTACCTGTTCGGTACCTGCGTTCTTTTTGGAACAGCAACATAGTGATCTTACTGAAAACTTCTTGTCATCGTCACTTATATTGATTTCCACTTGTTGCCCCTTATAAATATCAGCATTTGGATGTGAAGATAACCTTCTGATGTACCTATCCAAAGCTTCCACCCCCTTTTCTTTTGACATTTTGAGCTAATGCCTGTGAAAAAGATTAAAAATAAGTAAACAATTCACATATCACTTTAAAAACATTTTTAATTTTACCAAAAAATAACTCCCAAAAGTGCCAAAAATTGGCCACCAGTTAATGAGCTCACTAATAAGCACATTTTCACAAATAAACATTAAGTTATCCATTTGGGAAAAGGTATCTGAATACCGATCTGAATAACACAAAATGAAAAAGATCTGTTTGTATTTGTTTTGCTCAATTTTTGCGCCAGTTCTCAAAAAAGTGCCATTCGTAGATGCTGTGCTCTTGGCAACAACAACAGTCGCCGGCGGCCGCCGTCGTTGCGAGCACGTTTGTTTTTCTTTCCAAGTGAAAGCGCGCCTTTGTTCTCCCTCTCGCTTACCAACTGTCAACCTTTTTATTTCCTGAAGCCAAACCAGAATTTGTCAACTCTATTGCCAAAATGGAGGATGAAGACCAAATGGATGCATCATTCGACGACTTCGACGATGGCTCTGATGACGACAGTTTCGGTGGCAATTTCAGAGTGCTGTCCTTGGAGGAGAAGAAAGCATGCATCAAAAAGTTCCGCCAAAACCGAGACAAGGTGCGAGAGGTCGACCTGGATGGAAACCCTATACCAGTGGTGGTCGATAAGATGCGAGCCAATGTGGTGGGCCAGAATGAAACACTGGAAGAAGTTGGAGTGAACGAACTGCTGACGCATGATGCCAAGGTCCTCAGCCTGACGTTCCACAAGTCATATGACATGGTAAAAAAATTCAACACTGAATTCAAATTCGATAAACGCGACTTCAACAAACTACTTGGGCAAATGGTGTCTGGCGCAGGGAGAATTGATAATGCCGAATCTGCGAGCCCCTTCCGTCCCAAACATCTGGTTAAGATCAGCAAAATGTGTCAACACATAATGCACGCTGTCCCTACTGTGATTCCGTCCTTTTTAACGCCTGAAAATCACATCAGGAAGACGATTGTTCGCCGTCCACGACAAACTCAATCGTCAGTTGCCACACAGCCAAAGAGAGTTGACTCGACTAATATGAAAAATGTGGAGGACGAGTCTGAAAAGCGCATGCGAAAGATACACGAAAAATTGGAAAAGTTGCAGCGCCGAAACAAATCTGGCACACCGCTACTTCAGAGCATCATCGACCCTACCTCATTCGGCAAAACGGTGGAAAACTTTTTCAACATTGCCTTTTTAGCGCGTCAAAAGCGGATCAAAATTGAACCTGACCTCAACCTTCCAGATGATGAGCCCATTGTGACGGCATTAGGCGCTCAAAATGTCGATGATGACGAAGAAGAGGGAGAGGCAGCAGTGGATACTTCTCACAAGGCCATTCAATCGGTTTTGACGCTAGACCATGAAACATTCCAACTGCTGGTAAAGAATCTGGGAATCACACAACCAGCTGTCTAGCGTGAACATTTTTACAGTCATTTTGTATTTAAGACAATAGAATTAGTTTAGTTTTTCTTGCTTTGCACATCGACACTGTTGCTCACACATTTGTTATACTTTTGGAAAGTGCCTAAAAAGAACATTCATTTGATTTATTGCATTTGATCTCCACAACTACTCAATAAACCACATCCAGTCAACTATTCAAGGGCGAAACTTTCTTTACCCCCTTACCTTGAGATGAGATATGTTGATGCTGGCGGCACAGATGATGATTATGATGACGATGATGATGATGGTTAGTGTACAGTTGACTCGGTACTTCTCGCAAAACAGCGGTAATGATCAGTGGACCTCTTTCTCTCTGGTTTGAAGCATCGCTAAAGGCAATAGAGCGCCGGCAGGCGATGCACTGACATGTATTTATAGGCAAGGTCCGTCTATGTCTTTGCACACATTCTTGGACTTTACAATGCCACGTTGATGCTTTCGAAATGACTGACTGGCTAGTACTCCATCCTCTGCGATGGAATTGCAGTGTCTCACTGATGATGGCTGTCACCTTTGCCTGCACCTTTCGGTGCCACCTTCCTTGACAACACTCACTGATGCGCTCCCACTCCTGTTCACAGTTCAGCACTGCCGGACCACTGATTTGGGCAATAAACCGACTGCAGAGTCGGAGACCGCGCACTCTTTTTGATTGTACGGCACTGTTTGTTTGCATATAATAAATACGCCCTCAGTGAGATCGAGAGAGGGCAGTTGGCCAGTCGGACACCGACTGGTTCCTTTCAAAGTTGGGTAACAATTTTTTAAAGCAAGAAATGGTGTTTTTATCAATGGAGTTGTTGGCTGTGTCATAAAATGCCGCACTTTCTCATTTGTAGTGCTCACCTTGCACTGTCAGATAAGTAATAAGAATGCTGCTGGCTACTACAGCGATGCGCCACTTTTATTATTTTATATTTTTTGTCACTCTGCTCAAGTCTGCAGTTTGTAGTTGACTGAATTGAAGGGCCTCATGTTAAGAACAAACTAAGATCTGGGCGCAGAAAAGGAGTTCAACACACGCTAGGCAACCCATACAGTGTCCTCTGAATGCCTTTCAACAAAGGAAGTTGATCGATTATGCTGTAAACTGCTGAGAAACTGTAGAAAGCATCTGTCATCTTGAGGGAAAGTGGTTGGCCAGCTCCAGTCAGTTTCCGTTAGAACTGCCGTTTACAACCAGCACTACAAATGTATTACAAAATATACATTTTGTCACACACCGACTGTACAACACACCGGCGCCAACTGGCCAACTCAATTCAGTGTGCTTTACTTTGATGCAAAGTACTTCTTCTCCTTCTCTTTCTCCCTCCCCTCCTTGTGCCGAGTTACCTTCTACCATTGCACCACAAACACCTAATAATGCACTGTGCACGCGCCGTTATGGACAGTAGACGATGATGATGAAAAGGTGATAAATGGAGGAAAAGGCTGCCATGCTTAAAGTACTTTGGCCAGTGGAACTTTGAATCGTGTGCTTTTTGACGTCAGATTGTCGGATTGTTTTGCTTACATTGTATATTGGGAACTCTGCTTGACAAGGATTTGAACTAGAACTTGAAGTTAATTTTAGCAATAAACTGACTGGATATTTTGTATGAATTTTAAATGGTTTAATTTCTCCTGTATGCATAGTTGGCACCTGGCAACACCAAACACTACATTGCTGCCAGCACCTCACGCCACCGTCGTTTAATTACACAAGTCTGCAAATTTGGAGACTTGGATCTTAAACGCTCTGGCTCTAGCAGTTATAATATCTTCGATTTGAGTACTAAAAACATGTTTTTTAGTTTTTGAAAATAATCAGCCGTTTAGGAAATATCGTTTATGAAAGTTTCAGATACAGTCAAATCTGATCATTTTCAAAATCACATTTTTCTATGAAAGGAATTTTTGTTGAATCTGAAATTAAAGCCAAATACTTAAAACAGCTTACTAAACAATAATCCAAAAAAAGTTTTGTTTAAATTATCAGATTTAAGATCGTAACCTATGACTCAAATGTGACTCATGTTGATGTGGTTACTTTTGCGTTCAAAGATCATAGGGAAAAAAGACATTGGCTAGAAAGGGAAACTTGAAATTCGAATATTTTTTTTGTTTGTTGCTTGCAATCTCTTTTAGAAATAACCGTTCATATTGAGATTCAAATCATCGGTAATGAGGTGATGGCAACAGATACTTTTTGCCATTTTAAATATAAGATTTAGTTAAGCAAACTCCCATTTAAAAAAAGTATCTAAACAGTTAATGCTAAAAAAATTGAACAATATTTTAATTTGCATTTTGAAAATGGTCAGAAATGACATGATCAGTAACTTTGAAATTCAGTTACTCGAAATCGGCTGATTATTTTCAAAAATTGTTTAGAAATTCAGAATCAGCGCCCTCAAATTAGTCTAGAACCGATCCTTTTTTGGAGTTTAAGATTTCATGTACACTTGTGTTATTGCAGTTTGGCAGGCACCAAACGCATTTAAGAATTCATTTATCATGTATATTCTTTGGTGATAGATCGAGCGCAGTGATTAACAGTGCTGAGTTGGCTTGATATGATCTAGAGATAGAAAGAGAAATGAATCTTTGCTCTGGCAAGGCACATCAGACAGTTCTATTACTGCTGATGGTGGTGTCTGTAGCTCCATTTTTCTTTTTCGAAATTGGTGATACCAAAATAAACACTCGTACTTGTACGGTCGACGTCAACGACGGCAACTGCCTGCCGCCGAACTATCGACTTGACTGTTTCCCGGTAATTGGAAAACATGTGCTACTGATGCTACTGCACTGATTATTATTCTGCACCAAAAGCAGCTTTACCGAAGCCGAATTCTGCTGCTGCTGCTGCTTTAACAGTGACCGCCGAATATGCTTTATTTATAGTCACGTGACGCAGAAAAAAAGTACATCTACTGTCATCTTTCACTCTCTTTCCCTCTTTCTTTTTAGTCTCACATCGCTGCGGTGCACTAAAATAGTCCTTTGTCTGTGTGTGTGCTTAATTTGCTCCTAACATCTTTGCACTTCAGCGATGAAGGAGGATGGGAAGCCTTGATCTGCTGCTCACACAGTGCACACATCCACACGGCAACTGTACATTGCTGCCGCACATCTCCTTGCGTTGCCCTCTTCTCCTTTTTTGCCCCCTCTTTTCCCCATCAGTAACTTGCACTGATCGTACATTTTTAACACTCCAGCTGCTCGTGCGGATTCAACTTTGTTTCTTCTTCATCTTTTTTCCTTTTTACTTACCAGGCACTTTTTGGGTGAAATTTTTGTTTTTCCGCTCATTGCACAAAGTTGAATCTAACACAGTTTTTTAGCGTAAACCAACCGCCAAGATTGTACATTTTTTTCCTGCCTCATACTTTTCCTTTTGATCACTGGTGTTTGATCACTATTATCATCGTTTAGGAATTGCATTCCTAAACAGTTGATTAGTGAAAGAGAGAGAGAGAAAAGAACTTTTGTCTTTGAATTTGGTACATTGAGTGACATTACCATTTCCAGACGAGTGTTCACCGGTGTCTGCTGCAGTCTTGCTGCAAATTTCTGCAATCGGTCAGACCATTGCTGTTGGCAAATGCTCATTATCGGATGGCAATATTTGCATTCATTCCACCAGTCTGTGTGTGTGCTATCACTACTTTAGTGAAGCTGCCGTTCCAATCGCTTGGTTGCTCCTTCTTCTTCGTCTTTGATTGCTCCTCGTCTCCTTCACTCACTTACTTACACTCTCACATTTCTCACCCCCTCTCGCCGCTCATCACTTGGCCACCACCAGCAGTATATTCAACAAGTGCAATTCCTGCCCCTTCTTTACTGATGCACCACCACGATGATGATCAAGGTAAGCACATCTAGTCAATAGATGTTATTCTATTCAGTGTACTGGTAGTGAAGATGATGAAGATGAAGAAGGGGACACACACAGTGATAACACCTTGCTGGCAGGCAAACACTGACACTGCCGCTAGGCAGACTGATGCTAGCACAGTAATCTGCCAATCTACCAGCCGCTAAACTGGTCGGCCATTTCGCAAGGCTTTCTTTCATTGACACTGTTACTTGATACTATGCCCCTCTTTACGTCATGCTCTCTTGCTCGGCTGCTAATAAACAAATTCTTCACTTTTGCCTAGCTTTGTGTCAGTCCTAAAAAACTGAAAGACTAGTTATTCGCTATCACGAGCTGCTGCTCAGAAAAGGGTGGAAATTTCCACCACTACCGAAATGTACTTCAAATGTACTGGGAACGATACTTTTTTTATTTTTTTACCGACTGGTTTGTCTATTTTTGCGGTTGCTGTAAACAAGTTTTATCAGTGTTTTGTTGTCAGCATCAATAAATAAATTAACACATCATGTCAGAATTTACTGCTAGTGCGGCTGCCATTTGCTTGAAAAGTCGGGTAAAACCGAATGACTGTGCATTTTCAAGTCTAGTTTAATTTACAATCAATTCCAGATGTCCAGTTTACGGAAATTTACTCGCATTTTCAAACAAATTAATTTTATCATTGAACATTGATTTCTCTTTTTACACAAGAGCTGCTGATACTCGATCACTAGAAGGAAATAAAGATGATGACGATGATGATTTATGACTTATGATTTATGAGTTTGCTGGAAAGTGAAAACGAAAGACAATGTTAAACGCAAGTTAGTGGAAACAAAACAAAACAAAGATAAAGGGAATGATTTAGTGTGTGAGCGAGTGTGTGTGCTTCACTTGAAGTGATTGGAGGCCACAGTGATCGAACACTGTGTTTCACTTTATCAAGTGGGTCTACTCTGTTCTGCGGACAAATCCACTCTTGAACACAGTGGAACACTGCTTGCGGCAGATTAGATTTCGAAGGAGAGTGCGAGTGTGTGTCTGTGATGCTGTTGCATCCTTCTTCTTCTTCTTCGAAAAAAGAGACTGTCCATTTCATCTGGCCATTTCATAGCTGAGCAAT